AGCCAAAGGCGAAGACCCGCAGAACTGAAAACTCCTAAACTTCCGACTCTGAACGAAAAGCTCCTAAACTCTATAACCCGCTAACCCTGTGCCTATACCCCTGTTTCATACTAGAACCCTAGACCGCATAAATCTGTGTAACCCTAGAGCCCCATATTACCCTACATGGGAGTTTCCGAAAACAGGGGACCCTAAGGTAGTACCCTAAATAGTAGGATCCTTGTTATAGGGACCCACCCAAATAAGGTACCTTATAGATCCCTTTAAGGAACCCTTAAGTTATTGATAAAAGGTACCCCTAAACACTGCAAGCCGGCCTTGCCATTGGGACATCGAGGGCCAAGCTCTTCGAAGTCGCGGGCTCGCCGGGCATCTGCAGGCAAGAGGGAACCCTGAAATCAAAAACTAAACGGTTCCTTAAAGGGATCTATAAGGGTTCTATAATAAAAAGTTTAGGGTTTAGTATTATATGAGAATTATAATGCTCTGATTATAGAACCCTCTAGTACCCCTTAAAGGAGGACCCTGGAGAGCCCTTAAAGGGAACCCCAAGGGTCCAAAGGACCCAAGAATTAGGTACTCGGTTTTCGGATAGTAGTTATGTAGGTTAGGATTTTGGAGGGTATATGATTATTGGGTACTTGGACCCTTGGGGGAACCCAATTTTAGCTATAGTGCTCTTATTAAAGAACCCTCTAGTACCCCTTAAAGGAGGGAGGAACCCTGGAGAGCCCTTTAAAGGGAACCCAATTATGGCGAAAGCACCCTTATTCTAGAACCCTATAGTACCACTTAAAGGAGGGAGGAACCCTGGAGAGCTCTTAAAGGGAACCCCATTATAGACTCCATAGTATATACCAATATTGTAGAACCCTATTTTTTGCTCTAGAATAGCCTTACAGGGAACTCTATTATAAACTCTGAACTGCCCTTAGAAGGAAACCTAATTTTGACTCCACGGTACCCTTTTTGTGGAACCCTATAGTACCCCTTAAAGGAGGGAGGAGCCCTGGAGAGCCCCCGATGGGATTTGGGGTTCAGGCGTCTGGAGTCCTTAGGGCTTCGGGGTTTTCGGGTTTAAGGTCTGGGCGGTTGAGGTATAGGGCTTCGGATTTTGTTGTTTAGGATTTAGGGTTTAGGGTTTAGGGTTTATAACAAGATTTCGCGATGAAGGCTTCAAGGCAAGCTTGTAAGGCTTGAGTGCTTAAGGGACCTGGGTTGAGGGTCAGAGGTTCCGGGTGAAAGAATTTAGGCTGCAAGGATTCAGAACACGGGTTTAGGAATTTCTGAGGTTCTGTGGCTCTTCAACATCAAACCCCGAAACCTTGAAAGCCGCAGGAGGACCTCGCCGTTTTGAGACGGAAGCAGGGCTCGGAGAGGTCATATCTCAGTCGGCTGGGGAATGCTTAGGGACTTTGTCGTCCTAGGGTTTTGGGCATGGCAGGATTGGGAAAGAGGCTGTGTCGACACTTCTGCTGCTACTACTTCTGGTTCAGGGTTTAGGGTTTAGGGTTTAGGGTTTAGGGTTTTGGGTTTTGGGTTCAGGGTTTAGGGTTTAGTAACTTCTTAAGCCTTTCAGCAGAAACGGTCCTGCAGCTCTCCACCTGTTCAATGCTTAAGCGGTTGAACTGTCGGAATGCCACGTATGTGTCTAAGCACTTGCTACACTTGCGCTGAGAGCCGTCGCCACAAACCCTGCGAAACTCTTCCAACAAGCCTGACTACTAATTCCTACTTAATAGGATACCCAGTAACCTAAGAACAAAAAGGCCTCTCTCTTTTAGGTATTGGGTAACTTTATAAGGAACCTAGTACTAGAAAAAGGAATAAGGGTACTACTGGGCATCCTAGAGCCTCAACATCCCGAACCCTCCCTAAACCCTAAACCCCAAAACTAATTCCTACAAGCCTCAACATCCCGAACCCTCAACCTTCTAAAACGCTTAGCCTTGCAAGCAAACATCGAACCCTTAAGGCCCCCAAGGGTCAGCACTTCTAAAACCCTGAAACCCCAGATCTCCAAAACCCTAACACCCAAAAATCTCTGAAGCCCTACACACAAAACCTCTCAATTTCCACCCAAACAATATCCCTACCTTACTACCATTTCGGCTCGGAGCTGTGGCAAATCTTGGGAAGGAAAGGCTAGGACGAGGAAAGTAGAGGGCCCTAAACCCCGAACTCTCAAACCTAGAAGCATCCAACAACCTGCTGACCCCATGATTCTAAACGAACTGAGCTCAGCCGCCAGTGAAAAACAAACCAATACCCACCGTTGAACAACTGGACGGCCAGAGCGAGTCTAGTGTCCAGCAAGCTCGACATCCCGAGTTGGGTACCTATCACCCTTCTTCTGATCCATGCGATGTAGTAGGTCTCCTGTCCGACAAACCCTGTTGAATCCCGGCTCAATTGTCTTGAAGGCCTGAACCCACCAAGCTAAAGCCTCTAAGCCTTAAAATTTCGCAACTCGTGCCCTTTAAGCCGTTAGCCGACGTTGCAGGCCCAGGTCCCTAGAGCCACGAACCCCAAAGGGTGATCCGGGAGTTGAGACCAGCGGCTTGCTGGAGTGCCACCTCCAAAGTTGCCTGATTCGTGCAAAGTTTAAAGAGTTGTTTGGGGGTGGAAGGGCGTTGGGGTTGTTTGGTTATCTTAGCCACTTGAGTTGGTTAGTACAACTATTCCAGTTACCCTATTCACAACCCCAGTCACCAAGTCAACACTAGGTATACCCTAAGTCGATGGATGGATGGATGGATGGCTGGCTGGCTGGCTGGCTGGCTGGCTGGGTGGGTGGGTGGATGGATGGATGGATGGATGGATGTGCGCTACGAACCGATATACCTCTGTAAGTTGGCTCTGCAATGGACACATATGGCAGTACACGAACAAACAGAATGGCAAACCTGACAATGTGCACCCTTCGCCAGTTACTTACTTCAATGACAGACTCCACATATACCACTACTATGGAATTACGTCTCCAAAACCATCATAAGGATGGTCTTTCATGAGGCCAAATTCCATAATGGTAGTATATTCGGACATATTCGGAGCCTCTGTGACGGGCTCAGACGGGTCTAGGCCTTGACAAGAGTGTCAGGAGGCTAACTATGTGGAAATTAGTTCTCATATCTGGTGTCCCTGTTGCGGAACCCCAACAAGGTGGCAGCCTTGCAAAAAGACCACCAAAAAGGCAGCACCCTCTTAAAAAGGACCCCAATTTAGAGAACATTAGAGAACTATCTATGTGCATGCCAGTTCGGCAGCATGGCTCACCGGCACCCGGTTCAGGTTCAGCTGGGATCATTGACGGCTGTACTATTCTAAACTACACTAAACTACGCTACAAAACACAACAAAAGTATACTGTACTATACTATACTACACCATTAGACTATTATATTTATTATATAAGTACTCTCCACTCCCGCAACACAGCTAACTCCCACGAAGGCCCAGCGACGGACGCGCTGCGGCGTGGGCGTGGTCGCTGCAAAGTTGGGCGCCACGTCGGGTCGGGGAGGCCTCCCAGATGAAAGATTTAGGGTTTAGGTAATGGGGTTTAGGGGTTTAGGGTTTAGGATTTAGGGTTTAGAACCCAAATATGAAAGATTTGGGGTTTTAGGGATTAGGGTTTAGGGTTTGAGGTTTAGGATTGAGGACGTTTCTGCCTTGGACTTCTTAGATGGAAGATATAGGGATTAGGACCTTTCTGGCTGGGACGTCTTTTCAAAGTCGTGTCCTTGGGATTGGGGCTTTTTAGTGTGTACTTGAGGGATCAAAGAACTTAGGCCCCTCGAGCCAGATGTAAATAAGTACCCAGAAATGCGGGAAAAAGGACCGTAATATGATCAAGCAGTTTAAACTGAGAAGAATATGTAGCAAAGTCGACAAATATACTCTGTACGCAGACCTGACTCAAGAAACTAGTTTAGGGGGCGAAATAATTGGAATAGAGTTTCGAGGCCTAATATATCAGGGGCCCCCACAAACTTTATGCTAATTATTCAGGCCCCTATATTCTAATATGCATTTAGCTCTCAGAACGACTCTCTCTGGACTTCCTGTCCCCGATGCCCTGGATACTCTGATCTGGCATCGCGGATGCAATCTGAACGGGGTCACCGAAGTTGTCCACGAATACCCCTAAACTCTAAACTGTAAACCCACGGCTTCCTCAAAAGGCTTCGCTGTGTTCGCCCTTAATCGGAGACTTACCCGATGTATATAAACGGTTGATGGTGTACGTGAAGCTCCTCACAGCGTAGACGGCTAAGGGCTGTGATTTTTGCCGGCGCAATATATATATATATATATATATATACATATACATATATATATATATACATATACATATATACATATGTCTGAGCTTAGGATCAAGGAGGTAGCGAAGGCAACTCCGCTCCGCACACGATCGGAGAGTCCACCCCGAACCCAAGTGCGAACAAAGACGACTTTCGTACCACAAGCTTCACTTGGCCAGTTTCCAAGGAAACCTGCAGGGGATCTGCAGGCTAAGTGCAGGATTCACTAGGTTTCCTGCTGACGGTGCCGAACCACCCGAACTTAAGATACAGTAGGAGGCCCTCTTCAGCCATGAGCAAGATCCGCCCTGCTATAGGAGCCTTAATAATTAGAATAGGGTGTTGGGGCCCATTATACTATAATTATTATATGGAAACCCCCCAAATACTATAGGAAACTATTACGGCCCCTATATTAGCCCCCGAACCCTAAACCTGAGCAAGATCCCAAGTTAGAAGCTGCCCCCACCCTGTAATAGTGGTATAATAGGAATATAATAGGGCCCTAATATAATATTAACATAATCCTTATAGTCACTATTACAGGGTGGGGGCAGCTTCGAGATCCCAACCTAGGATACCCAGTAACCTAAGAACAAAAAGGCCTCTCTTTTTGGTATTGGGTAAGTTTATAAGGAACCTAGGACTACAAAAAAGGAATAAGGGTACTAATGGGCATCCTAGCAACCCTAAACCCCTAGCAGCCTCTGGGTCCAGCAGGCACTGCTGCAGGCTGGGGCGTTCCCAGAAGCGGCCTGCGGCAGATACGGTTTAGGAATTTAGGATTTAGGCCATTTAGGGGCTTAGGGCTTAGGGGCGTTTGGGGGGCTAAAAGAAACTGGAATAGTCTTTCTGGCTGAGTACGTGAGGAATATGATTCTATGGCTTGGTTGTAATAAGGCTCCTCAGGAACAGAGGAGTTGATTATTCACTTCTCCATATTGACTCCACAACCTGGAGCCTGCCAGCATCCCCCCGCAAGTACCCTTTCGCTAAGCGCCTATGCTACTCGATCGTGGGGTGCTTAGTATGACCGAAGACTACTTGCGGGGGGGCTAGGCGGATCTCAAACCGTAGGTTTTAAAGCTGGAACCCAAGACATTAAGCCCTCAAGCCGTGTGAGTCTTCGGGACCAAGAAAGATCAGGAGATGCCTACACGCTACAATAGATCACGAAACCATCAGGTGCGCCTAGCTACTACCACGACAACAACTACTGCGGCCACTCCTCGCACTGCCCCGGTTATGTGGCGTAAGTACTTTGGTTCCGCTCCCTGCCACCCGCTGTGGTTTGGTCTGGTTGTGGATTCTACGCTTATCACCCCAACCACCAGAAAACCCCTAAACCCGAAACTAGAATGCACACTATGCCTTTGGGTTAAACGGTTCCTGCCTCACCACAAGTGCGGCTGACGATGGGCAACTCCACGCTGGGATTTGACTGAGAAACAGAGTTTTCGGCAAGAGAGACGGAGTTCTCGGCAAGAAGGTCCTGCGGACGGTAAGGCTGAAGCTTCTTATGCTTCGGTTTGTCTGTGAGAAGATGGTTACGACTGTTGCCTGCATAGGTGTTCTTTTGGGTCACTACGCAGCATGAACCAAACAGAACTGTGACGATAAGGATGACGAATCTGATGATGTTGGCATACCATGGTTTGTATGCTGATCCCTGGAGAAATAACCTCAAATTCAACACCCGAGTCATCTGGGTTTCTGGACCATCCAGTTAAGATGGCATCGTCAGTCACCCAGCACGGGGTCATGAGTGATGTTTCAGACATACTCAGTCAAACTGACTGGGCACACACCGCGAACGCCTGTGCTCACATTGAGCCGACATTCCGAGCCTCTGCGACCGATCCCTAAACGTCACAGCATCCCCGTCAAACCGAACCCGCCTAAGCCCAAGCCCTGAACTAAACAACAGAACGAACCCTGAACTCTGAACCTAAAACGAACACAAACTCATCCCTCCAAGGCCTTTAGGCCGAAAACTCACAACCCCCCAGAGCATGGCACAGGACATCTAGCCCAAAGACCTCCCATTTCAAGACTCTTACTAATCCTTCTATGAAGGGTTAGCAGTTTACGGTTTAAAGTAAATCTTCGTAAACCAGTCTAGGCTAAATAGTGAAGACCTTGAAGCCCAAACCCTGACACCTATGCTTCAAAGAGGTAGCAGTTGGCTCAATGCATCGCTCCTCTGGAGGGACTGAATCTTTGGACTCGGTCACCTGGTCGGATGTTTGCTTTGGGGTTCCCAGAGCCTCCAAAACCCCTTAATTAAGGAATATACCTTAAATTATAATAGGATCCCTTGTATGGTTTAAGGTATATTCCTTAATTAAGGGGTTTTGGAGGCTCTGGGTTTACCTGGACCCTACGGAACCTACCTTTCTAGGGTTCCCTAATATGATTTCTTTATATAAATACTTAAAACGGCAGGTTACGTGGGGTTAAGGTATATAGGGCTTTAAGTTCAGGGTTGAGGAGTTAAGGGTTTGGAGTTCAGGTGTCTGGGAGTTTACGAATCAGATGTTCGGGTTCACGGTTCTGGGTTTCTTTCTAGGGCAAGAACGGCCCGAACACCATGTTACAAACCCCTTTTAAGAAGGTCCGTCGTTCCGTAGATGATATTCATGACTAAGAAATGGGTATTTTTCAAGGCTTGGGCCCTAATCTAAACTTCAAACTCCTAAGTTGTGTGTTCCAACATAGGGTGGTTGTCAAAAAAATGGTCCCTTCTTGGGTACCCTAAATATTCAGTGCCGTATTAGAATAGGGACCCCAAAAGGGACCATCATTTTGACAACTACCCAATAATAATTCAATAATAGGTCATGTGCAAGTGGCATGGGAATCAGCGAGGGCCAAAAAGCAGACGCTGGTCGACATTCGCAGCTGAACAGTGTCCGCAGCAGTTTCGGACATGCGTGCTCGGCAGAAGACCTCCCAATGCTAAACTGTGCCCTGAAAGTCCTGCACTTTATAACCTCTAAATCCTGAACCCCACCTCGACCCCAAATAACCTACCGTTTTAAGGACCTGTATGAGGAAAATGTATTAAGGAACACTGAAACAGCAGGTTCTTTAGGGTCCCAGCAACACTTGCACCCTTACGATTGACAACAATCCCAGCTACGTATTATATGAATAATAAAATAAGCCCTAGACCGTAAACCCTCAAGCCCTTAAACCCTAAACCCTTATTAAGGCCCGCTAGATTAACATGATCCCAGATACTGGCAGGTCGATGCTGGGCATAGACTGGGAGACGGAATTCTCCGCTAGCGCATCCTGAGAGGATGTCAGGTCAAGACTCTTAGGGCAGCTTAGGTGTTCAGTGTCCTACTATTTGCTTAAGAACCCCCCCAAAAAATAAAAAAATATATATTCCTTATGGGGGTAATATAGGGATTATTATTTTTTGTTTTTTGGGTGTTTCTTAAGCAAGTAGTAGTGTCTTGTGGGTTTGGGGGTTTAGGAGCTTGGGGGTTTTAGGGTTTCAGGGGCTTCGGAGTTGAGGATTTGGGGTCTGAGAGCTTCGGATTTTGAGCGCAACTCCTCCATCAGGACCTGGAGCCCTATGCTGTAATTTGGGATCAGCTATAACAGCACCCTTGGGGTCTTAGAGCTTCGGATTTTTAGCGCAAATAGCACCCTTTATCAAGAACCTGATGTTGAAGCCTAACCCTTCATGCCCTAGCCGCCAGACTACGAGCCTTCACAGCGGCGACCTCAACGAAACCCTGAACTCAACCACTCCCTAGGGGTTCATGTACCAATATAGTATGTACTTCAGGCCTTTAAGTACCTATACTCGGACAACTTTGTGGCCAAAGTGTAGGCTCTATGAGCACCTGGGCCCTTAGGGACTCTGAGGCCCTAAACCCCTAAACCCTAAACCCCTAAACCCCTAAGCCTCTAACCCTAAACCCCTAAACCCCCTAACCCCCTAAAAGTAAGAGCCTCCTGAGGCACGACGGACTCGGCGATGCCAGTTTCGCACGGCACAGGGGCATCCTGCAACGGCTGTCGTCCAGTGGTGCAATTGGGAGTTTCCGAAAACAGAGGACCCTAATATAGTACCTTAAGTTGTAGGATCCTTATTATAAGGATCCTTAAAGCAGGTACCCCTAATTTTCGGAAAGTCCCAATTAGGGTTTAGGGTTCAGGGATGAAGTTTGTCCATGACCGCAAGAACAACTTGACTGAAGCATGCAGGTGTCAGATATTCTCTATAGATCTTGAGCTCGAACATACCACAACAAAAACGAGAGCAGCCGCAGACGGGCACAAGGGTTGGAAACTCATGAACACCTAAGCAGAGAATAATGCAGTAGTCTTGAGAACGTTTCTTGAGCGAGCTGCCATGGTCTCGTCCTGAACCCTGGCACGGAGCCCTAAAGAGGCACTCTCTTGTGCTTTAAGACCTTCAGGCACAATCCTTTACAAGCTCCTTTCGAAACAGTTCCCTGGTAATGCCGGAACCTGATTAAGAAACCCTGGCCCTGTAACTCCAACAATAGTAGGATTCATATAAGTAACCCTAATAAAGGCGCAAGGTTTCTTGACCATATACCCTTGCAAAACAAGCGCAACATCTAAAGGCCGCCTCGTTGGCCTCTGCCTTGGTCTCCGCCGCCTTCGCACCTGGGTTCGAGGACTTCTCGTTTAGGGCATGAGGTTTTAAGGTTTAGGAATTAGGGGTTTAGGGTTTCAGCGTCTGCTGAGGACAAGCCAGCTGAAGGGTATTCTTCAAGCATGACTAACAGTAGCCCCAATGCCTCGTTGCGAAAATGCGCTTTTGAGAAATCTGGAAATCTGGAGTCAAGCCCTGAAGCAGTAAGTCCATAAAGAAAGCACCCGGGAATCCTTGCAAACACACTTGATACTACACTATTATGCTATAGAGCGCTATGCTATACTGCACTATGCTATGTTATACCATACCATGCTATACTAGCTATACTTTGCTATGTTGTATCGTTCATGTCGGGAGGTCATGTTGGGAACGAAGGTTTAGTCGCCCTTGTTTGAGGTATAACACAGGCCCTCTGGGACCTCTGTAACGGCGTCCGGGACAGGCAAAGGGCATCAGTGCCAAGTTTGCAAAGCTTAAGGAGCGGTGTAGGGGGTTCGTGCATGTCTTCGAGCATTGAGCAAAGGTGCGCGGAGGTAAGAGCTTCGGGCGCGCTGACCCTAAATGCTAAACCCAGTGGAAGTGCAGACTGCTAGACACCTGACAAGCGGGCACAACTCAGTCAGGCAGAGTTGCATGAGTCTGTGCCAAATGTGGTTCTGCTAGAGACCCAAGCAAAGTGCTTGGCTCAAGTTCAACCAACTGCAACAAAGAACGGCGTGAACTTGGGTACAGACGAAGGTCAGAGGCACCACAGGCTCTCCGGGGGCAGAAACAAACAACAATCATACGAAGAGCTTACATCACCATAGTCAAAATCATCAAAATAGCAATAATGACTCATGATAGTGAAAGTTGTAGCAACGAATGACTCTGCGAGCAACCGCAAGAAATCCGGCGCCCCCAAACCTATCGACCTCACACCGCCATTTCTAAATGGCATCACTACTAATAGTATAGCACTAATATTCGTATCAACGTTGTACACATATTAGTATTAGTAGCCGAGAGGCTTTTCCTGGCTTTCCTCCTTTTCTCGCGGCTGAGCAGAAACTGCAGTTCCGCAGCATCTGCCGCATCCTCAGGAACGGAGACTCGACACTCTTTCCCCACCACAACTCGGTACTAGGGTTTAGCCGTTTTAGGGTTTAGGGTGTCCAGGGTTTGGGGCTTAGGATTTTCTTTATCCATAGTATTTGGGACTTCTTTACCCGCACACTTCGGGACTTCTTCATTCACGGAGCCACGTGCCACCTGAACCCTGAATCCCGTCTGAGAGTTTCACCTCGACCCTGATTCGGCAAAACCGGCTGTTTGTTGGAGCTCCTACTTGTACCATGGATTCCAGGTTTGCGGTCTTAGGTCTTAGGACACGAGGGACCTGTCTTCACCTCACTACATTACGCTTCAGACTGTTTGGGCCTGGGGCCGTCGGCAGAGTTGCAATTTCAAGCCGCTGTTCGACGGTTCGTGAACCACGAACCCTTGAACAATTAGCAGCAGATGTATACCCATAGGCCCCAAAGTAGTTCCTTTTTGGGATTACCTTATAGGATTCTAAACATGAACCCCAAAAAGGACCTTAGGGTAGCAGTGCCCTGACCATCGAACTGAGGAGGCGCTCACTTTGGAGAAATCCGCGAGTGGCTTCTGCAGCAAGCCCTGCAGGTCCATGTGTTATATACTTTGGCCTGTAGGTACCCATAGGCTCCATAGTAGTTAAATATGAACCCCAATTCAACTATGGAATTACCGAACCCTACTTCTTTGTAGGTTCTTATTATAAGCTCTACTATGGAATTTATAGGGACCCTACAAAAAGGTAGGTTTTGGTAGGTTAAGGTAGGCATGTAGGTACCCATAATTTTGACAACCACTCACAAGGATCCCAGGTTCAGCTGCAAATGCGGCCGAGATTCGAGGACTTGCAGGCGAAAGTCGTCGGGCGCGTCTTTCAGCGCTTTTCGAAACTTCCTGCAGCCAAGAACCCTCCACCCCTAAATCCTGAACTCTACGAAAAAAGAACCTCGCCCAGGTGTACCACCCAGCCGGGCTCTGAGAATCCCAAGATGCACCCACAAAAAGCGGAATGTAATTCTAGCACCATCAGCACGCACTTCTCCATAGCCTAGTATCCGGACTCCAAACATGTGGCTCAAGCCCTCTCCGCTACCTGTTTCAGTTATCTGACGTGAAACCTTTTATGAAAGCAAAGGCTTTCATGCAAGAGTCTGGGTCAAAGTGAGCTTTCAACATTGTACCCCGAAGCCCTACCAGCCTTGTTTCACAATGATGCAGACCCAATGCCGAACGACTCCATGAAACAAAGACACTCGAGCCTGCCAAAGGTAGGCGGCCCTTCACAAATCTTTATCTAAGATATCAGGGGTCTTACAGATGTCTTAATGATTAGAACCCATTTTGTGTGCCGGGGCTATCCAGGATACAGCAACAAGAACTAATTGTTCCTACATGCTCAAACCTTCAATTGCACTGATCGCCGATTACAACTGAATGCATCCAACAAACCCCTGAGACGATCCTATGAAACACGATAAAACCTGATGAGATCCGTATCTTCTCCTAAAAGATCGCTGCAGAACCCTCTGACCCGAGAGGTAACTTCACCCCCAAACCTGACAGCTTTCAGCCTAAATTCTAAATCGTTAACCCGTTTGACCCTTCGCCCTAAAATTCGGAACCTTGAATCCTAAACCCTAAATCCGAATCATATTAAATCGCCAATCCTACAAGCACAAATCCATAAACCGTTCACCCATCAAAAACAACTTGAGACCTTATAAAGCATACCTAAATCTCTAACTCTCCACCCTAAACTTTAAATAGCGGCCTAGGAAACCCTACAAACCCCATAAACCCCTGCAAAACCCCATAAACCCTGTAAGACCCATAAACCCCTAATAAGAGCGCCAGGGCGCAGGGAGCCCCGCAGCGCCATGGACCAGCTCTCAGAGGTGCGCAGGCACTTGAAGCATGTCAGGACCTGGGAGGCTAGGGCGGTTCCTTGAAAGGTCCAGAACGGGAGGTAGGTTTCCTTTAAAGGGATCCACAAATCCACAAGGGCTCCGTAGAGGGTTGGGAAGCATGTCAGGACTTAGTCGGGTAGGGCGGTTCCTTTAAAAGGATCCATAATGGGAGTTGGGTTGCAGGGTTTAGGGTTTAGGGGTTTAGGGGGTTCCTTTAAAGGGATGCACAAGGGCGGAGCATGTCAGGACCTGGCAGGGCTTAAAGGGTGCAAAGCTTTTCGGCTTTAGGAATTGAGGGTTTGTAATAGTGTTTTAGATTTATGGCTTCAGGGCTTGAGGTTTAAGGAAAGGTTAGGCTCTAAGGCTTGAGGGTTACCTAAACCCATCAAAGTACGTAAAATAATGGCCCAACACTCAGAAAATTTAAAAGGCTGGGCACGACTTGCTGTTTTAGCAAACATGTCATGATTGATATAGATCTGGTGTGTCCGCAAACAACAAAGTTGCATAGCATTACAGAGGAAATGCTTTATCGGTTGTTGAGGCTTCTAGGTTACGCCG